CATCTCTGCTTACTCCCCTAAAGTGACTCATATTAATTAATAAAACGGACTGGCATCAACATCAGGCTTGTAAGTGGAGAGAAAAAGGAAGTGTGGGGAGATCCATTTTTCAAGGCCAGGAGAGGGTGGACACTAGAATGCAATTCAGGCCAGCCTGGACATTTATTTATTTATTTATTTATTTATTTATTTATTTATTATTTTTCGATTTATATCCTGCCTTTTTCCTCAAAGGGCTCAAGGCAGCATACATCATTCTCCTCCTCCATCTTATCCCCACAACAACAAACCTGTGAGGTGGGTTGGGCTGAGAGTCTGTGACTGGCCCAAAGTCACCCAGTTGGCTCCATGGCTGAGTGGGGACTAGAACCCGGGTCGCCTGAGTCCCAGTCCCGTGCTCTTAACCACATCCCTTGCTGGTGCTCTTCCCTTGAAGCTCTCATTTCTTCGACCAGTGGATGCAGCCAAAAGTCCTGCCTCCACCCTTGAGCGATCCAAGGGCTAAAGGCATTTGGAACCCAAAGGTTATTTCTTTATGGGTTAAAGAAGATCAACAGTGGTGGGAGAGAAGTTGGGGTCTCCCTGTAGGAATTTCCTTCTACGTAGCAATTGATGTACAGTCCATGATGAGATGAGCATGGTTTTTCCTGTGTCCCTTTGCAGTGGAAGGTCCTGATCACATCTTTGGGGTGGCAGGAAGAGTGAAAATAAGACCTAATTGATGCTAGAACACCTCATTTTAATAATAAGGTAGAATCTGGAAGTATCTCTCCCAGGAACAGACAACATAGTGCTGTCCATATTTTTGGCAAGCGCACCCATCAGCCATAGCCAGACTGGCCAGTGGTCAAAGATGGGAGCTGTAGTCCAAAAAATCGGGAGACCCAGCTTACTTGGCCCCGACCTCTTCTACCTTCTCTTTCTTCTGTCTCTATCTTTCCATTCAGATTTGTATTCTGTTTTTTCTCTAAAAAGCTTGAGGCACACAAGATAAAACTATTGCATGTTATCCTCACAACACACCTATAAGGTAGTTCAAGATAGCGGTGCTGGAGAATCCACCACAGATTCTGACTGGCAGATCCAGCAGCGAACTGGTGTCTTCTGAGCTGCACAAGCTTTTTGGACATTTGGAATGAATTCTTCACTTTCCAGAATTGTAGTCATACAAAAATATGAAACAGATGAAAAGTAAAAAATAGAATGGCAGAAGTCTATTTTCCCTCCATAGGCTAAAGTGTGAAAACGAGTGTTTGAAAGCATGTGTGCTTTTTCAGTTGTGCACGTTTGTGCCAGTATACACTTTTCCAACACAAATACAACTTTGGAAAAGTGAGGAAAATACGATTCCATCAATGAGTAGACAGTGGAACCAAAGATTCTTATCAATTTCTGAAATGCAGATGGAACAACTTTTACAAAATCCCGTACATCAGTAGGTTAGGCTGAGAAATGATGAGTTTCATGGCTCAGCAGCACTGCTTTAGCCTAGATTCTACTTTCCACTCTTATCTCAGATCACTGATTGGCGATAAGAAGGTATTTAAAGGTAATTAACCTTGAAGATATCAAGCTGTTCTAAATATTTGGCAGCCTGCATTTTCGTGCAGGGGGTGGGCATGACATTTGGGATGCTGTTTGAAAGTGCTGCCGAGTGATCCAGCCCTGCTGGGGTCTGCATAGACTTTCAGACTTTTTTCCTGCTTGCATTTCAGTTGCCTTTAGCCTTAGGGCAAGCGATCAGTTCAGGCCTCTGGCAAGAGAAACCTGCCCTTCCTTCCCCTGGCAGCTTGCTGGGCGGGAAAGGAGCCGGAGGGAGAAGAGGGGTGGCAGCTTCACTCTGCCAAAGGATAGGGCCAGCCCTGGGCCGGCCCAGTTCTGCCTAGGCCACGCCCACCACAGTGTGGCCTCCCAGATGCGCTGGAGGGAAGGCAGCTCTTGCCAAGAGGAGGAAGGCCCCTCCCAGAGATCCACAGAGCCAGGTGGGGGCATCGGCATCAAGGGTAGGCATGGCGGGGCACCTGCCGAGGGCCCACTGACAGAGGTCCCCAGGAGTTGCTGCTCCTCTTTGTGGGTAGCAAGTGGGAGCCATCGTGAGAAAAGAGATGAGCTGCCGATAGTCTTGGTGATGAAAGACAGACTCCCTGAGTGGGGGGCCCATCGGCAGTATCTGGCCCAGTGAACCGCCAAAACCTGGCGCTTGCACCAGCCTAATTTCAGGCAGTGCACGAACTCTTTTGACGATCCTCTGCATGATTTCCAGCTGGTGCTTACCTTTCTTGTTGTTGGCTTTATTGGATTTTGTAAATTTGGAACTGGGAAAAATGCACTGTTATTGCAGCATGTGAAGCATTACCCTCCATACTAATAGCACACTCATTCTCTTGAGGGTGTAGATCTGATCTTAACCCCTTTGTTTCAGTTCCAATGAATGCATTAGCCCAGCAGTGCTTGCTGCCAGAATCTGCCAGGATCTTCCCCTGGTGGCCAGGACCAGACTCTCACCTTAATATTTGCAGGATAGGTTCCAGGCTGTGCTGGAGTTCTCTGCCTCCTGATGAGTGTCCACTGGGAGCCCTGGGGAAGAACTCTTCCCTCCGGAAGTGGCCTCAGCACCGCAGGTCGTCCGGTTTGCTGCAGTGCTTGCGTCTTGCCACCAGTATCCTGCCTCGCTGTCTTACCTCAGCCACACGGGGCCTCTTGCCGCCTGTGGTGTGGTTCAGCTCCTGCACCTTGCCTGACCCTTGCTGCGTTTGGTTCCTGTTGTAGCCTGCCTTTCCGCGTTGCCCCAGCAGTGCAGGTTTACCTGCCAGCCGTGGTGCAGTGCCCGTGTCTTGCCTTACCCTTGCCACGTATCCTGTCCCGTTATTCTGCCTTAAGGAATCTGCACCTCGGCTCGGCTTCCTGTTCTTGACCAGGTCCCGGTTCTGCCCTGATACATATTTCTGGCTCCTGACCTTGGCCTATGACTTGGACTTGGCATTGAACCTTACTTTTGGACCTTGTACTCTCCAAGTTCTGTTACCCCAGTCCTGGTGCCTCTGTCTTGTGTCTCAGCACCCACATCCCAGCCCTGGACCTGACACTTGCTCACTCATATGCAGGCAAATACGCCACTCTCTGCCAGCTTAGCTACTTCTACAAAATGATGCTCAGCACTTGACTTTGCCAGCGAAGCTGGCTGGAAATGAGAGGCAGTCACCAAGACTGACTGACGGTGATTTTGTCTTTCAGATGCCAGTGAATTTCAAGGAGGTTGCTGTCTATTTCCCAGATGACCACGGATCTTTGCTGGATCCAGACCAGAAAACCTTATACAAGAGCACCATGCAGGAAAACGGTGGGAATGCAGCCTTTCTTGATTAAGAGCCCTTTTCTGCAGATGTTTGAGGGTTGACAACATTGCTTTTTCAACCCATATATGCATGCATTGTCCCCTCTGTTAAGGCTGCGAGAGTGCCGATTCTTTCGTAGGCAAAACAGCTCCACCAGAGGTGTCAGCAGGCTCAGCCAAATTTCAAAGCTTGCAGATGAAACCTTTCAGAACAGCCAGCTGAGGGCAGAAAGGGGTGCTGTGGTGAAGGGGTGCTGGCAGAATTTTGAGGGACAGGGCTGAAAACCACAGTGGGAGAAGGAACAGCCTGAAGTGGCTGGAAATGTAAATTGAATTTTGATTTAAGTGAAAAGCTGGTTTGGTTGAAGGGAGGAAACAAATGTAGTTGGTGTTGGTCTTTGAGAGGCAAAATTGTACATATAAAGTGTGAAGCTGCCTCATTTTGAGTTAGTCTACTGTTGCAGCCTCATCTACTTTGACTGGCAGGGTGAGGCTGATTGATGATGGTTCAACAATTTAAAATCATTAAAGGAACATTCTAGAACTGAAGATCTGAAGTTCACCAAAGATGCACTTCCTGACCACCGGAAATCAATTTAGAGATTGAGAAGCCTTTACCTGCACTGCTTCAAGCCTCTGTTCAGGCATGAGTCCTAGAAATGTACACCACTCCTCATTTCTTAGAAAAGAAAAGAAAAGAAAAGAAAACCACGATGCAAAGAAAACATAGCCCTTTAGGTGTGGGCAGATGTCAGGGTGGTAAAAACTATTTTTTTAAATCATGAGGATCAGCAATGAGAACAAAAATGGAAGCTTGTGGGGGATATTTAGGAGCATATGTTCAGCCCATGGATTTGTTGACCATCTTTGATCTGAACTCACGATCCTTTCCACTCTTGGTTTTCTCCTGGCTTTCTTAGTCTGAGAAGAAGCCCATATTGTCTGGACACTTTGGGGTTGTTCTTATTGTTAACCACTGTGAATTGGAAATTTGTGCTGACCTACTGCAGGTCACTCAAAGATCTCCCCTGATTTCCCCATCCACTGTAGCAGCATGTTTAAAAGTTAAATTAGGTTATTTCTTTAAAAAGTTAAATTTAACACATGAAAGAAAAAAACCATATGAATGAGCAGTGGGCAACTCCAGATGTTGTTGAACTACAGCCTCATCATTCCTCACCATTGGCCAGGCTGTTGGAGTCCAACATCTGGAGTCTGCATTTTCCACAGTTGTGATACAAATGCTCAAGTGTAGAGGAAGCTTCATAGAAAATGGAAAACCAGAGACACCATATGGAAAAGGAACTGCAGGGTCTTCTGGTATAAGCTAGAGAGCATGTGTGTATACACACACCCCAAACCTGGTTCATTTCTGGATAAAAAGTGGGAACATGTCCATAAATCTTTGTTGTGTTCCAACAGGTAATGGACAAATAAATGACAACACGAAGGCTGTTGAGAGGCAAAGTTCTGAGCAGGACCAGCAAACGGATGCATCAGAAGTTGTTTCCCAAGGTCCTGAGAAAGGAGGAGCAGCTTTGCATCATCACAGGCTAGAGAAGCTTCTGAAAAGTCACCTAGCAAGGAGAATTGATCATTCAGGGAGTCCCCAGGATCCTGGAAAAAGCACAGCCCGAAAGCGGATGCGCAAATCGCAGGGCCCGAGGACATGCAACGAGTGTGGCAAGACCTTTGCTCAGGCCTCAAACCTTCTGGCACATAAGCGGATCCACACAGGTGAGAAGCCATACAAGTGTGTGCATTGTGGGAAAAGCTTCACCGAAAGGTCCAACCGCAACAGGCACCAGAGGACCCATTCAGGAGAGAAACCCTATAAATGCGTTGATTGTGGGAAAAGCTTTAGTTTTAGATCTGACCTCATTAGGCACGGGATCACCCATACAGGAGAGAGACCATATAAGTGCTCAGACTGTGGGAAAAGCTTTAGTCATGCCTCAACCCTGATTAGGCATGAGAATATCCATACAGGAGAGAAGCCCTATTCCTGTACGGACTGTGGGAAAAGCTTCACGCAGAGCTCATCCCTTCTTGCGCACAAAAGGCTCCATACTGGAGAAACACCCTTTGTATGCCCCATTTGTGGGGAAAGCTTCAACTGGAAGTCTCACCTCGTTACACATAAAAGAACCCATACAGGAGAGAGACCGTACAAATGCTCAAAGTGTGGGAAAAGCTTCATAGAGAAGTCCAAACTGAATAGGCACCAGAGGACGCACACAGAAAAGGAACTTCATGAATGTGCGGAATGCGGGAGGACCTTTAGCATTCGATCCAACTTGATCCGGCATGAAATAGCCCACCGAGGAGCAAAATCCTATACCTGCCTCAGCTGTGGGAAGAGCTTCAACCAGGCATCGAAGCTGATGCGGCATGAGAGGATACATACTGGAGAGAAGCCCTTTGCCTGTTCCGACTGTGGGAAAAGTTTTAGCCAGACCTCAGAGCTCCTCCGGCACGAGAGGATCCACACTGGGGAGAAACCCTATAAATGCTCCATCTGCGGCAAGTGCTTCAATCGGAGGTCGCACCTCAACACGCACGAGGCGACGCACCTCGGAGGGCAGCCGTGCGAGTGGGCAGAGGGCCACGCCAGCTGCAACAACCATTCACTCCTGATTGCAGGCATGAGTGTACCAGAGCCGGTCGGTGCGGAGGGACTTCCCTGCAGGTGCTGCGGCAGCGAGAAAGCTTGTGGCCGCAGCTCCCTCCTCATCGCAGGAGTCAGCCCACAAATGCCTTTAGGAGGCCAACTCTATGAATGGCCCAATAACGAAACAAGCTACAGTCATTGCTCGCTCTTTCTTACAGGTGTGAATCTGCAAGGCGGACTCCTTGCAGGAGATCAGCCCCATAATGGCGATGGGGAGACAAGCTATGGACACAACCCTCTCTTCATTAAAGGCATGAAAGAGGGGAACCTTGAGGGAAGCCAGCTGTATAAGTGCGGAGACGGCGGCGGAAGCTGCCGTGGTGATGCCTCGCCCCTTATCGCATTTGTGGCAGCCCAGAGAGAAGACAACGTGTTTAACTGCCCCGAGTGTGGAAAGACTTTCAGCTGGAAATCACACTTCATCAGACACAAGCGGATTCACACGGGGGAAAAGCCCTATGGCTGCCCCGACTGTGGGAAAAGCTTCAATCGAAGGTCACACCTTGTTCGGCACAGGAGGATCCATGCCGGATTGAAGCCGTATGGCTGGACCGAGGGAGATGCCTCCCTTCAGGATCCAGCACTGTTAAACCCGAACGGATCTAGACCAGAGGGAACTCATATAAGCACACAACTTGTTGGGGGCGCCTTTTCTGTAACTCGTACAATATTGCAGACTGGAAAGTTCGATCAGCAGCAAAACAGTAGGAATGTACAGTGACAACATCTATAGGACCAAACATTGAAAGAACCCATCCAGGAGCGAAACCTTGCGTGAGGAAAACCTTTGGTCATGCGTTAGTTCTTCTTAGATTTGGAATACATCTGCAGGAGAAGTTATACCACTAGTTCACACAAGGTTGCAGGCCGAGTTCGGGCACAGTAACAACTTTGGTTGTCCTGTTGCGAGAGAGACAAAGGGAGTGTGACCCTGTTGATACTCCTGGACTGCTTGGTGGCTTTTGATAACATCAGCCATAAATCCTCCTAGGGTGACTGTGTGAGAGGAGATTAGGGGATCCGGCTTTGCAGTGGCTCCCCTCCTCCTTGGATGGTTGGCTCCAGAAGGTGGTGCTTGGGGAATATTGGTCAGTTGCTTGGATTCTCCAGTGTGGGGTTCCTTGTCCCCCACTTGCTGCAATAGCTACATGAAGCCACTGAGTGATCTGGAGTTTCGGGGTTCGTTGCCATCTGTTTGCTGATGACGTGCAGATCTATTTCTCCCTTTCTTCTTCCGTGCAGATGAGGCTGTCGATGTGCGAAATCAGTGCCACTCTGGCTACCAGAGTGGAGTTGACAAGGGCTGACAGACTAAAGCTCCATCCAGAAATGACTGAGATGCTGTCAGTGAGTGGTTCTCTTGTTTGGATGGAGGGGGCTTGGCCTGCTTCGGATGGGGTTGCCGTCCCCTGGAAGAAGTGGGCTCATAGCTTGGCGGTGCTCCTGGATCCAACTTTGCCACTTGGAGCTCTGGTGGCCTCAATGGCACAGAGTGCCTTGTACCCACTTTGGCTGGTCGACAGCCTGGTTTTAGTAATCTACACTCTGGTCGTCTTTTAGCTAGATTGGTGCAATGCGCTGTACGTGGAGCTGACCTTGAAGACTGCAGCTTATGCAAAATGTGTAAGCCGGACAGACAACCAGAATGAGAAGGTCTGAGTCATGTAACTCCAGTTCAGGCCCACTTGCGGGAGCCACTTATGTGCTTCGAAGCCTGAGTCAAGGTGCTGGTTTTCACCTATAGAGCCCTTCACTGTTTTTGGATCCTCTGCAACACCTGATGGAGTGCCTCTCAGCTACATACAGTCTACCTGGACATTGCCATCAACCTCCAGGGCCTTCTTCCACTTCCAAGGGAGGTTTGGTTGGTGGCAACAAGGAAGAGGGTCTTTTCTGTGGCAGCCCCCAAATTATGGAATGATATCCCCACCGAGACTCACCTGGTGCCAGTTTGACCATCCTTTTGGCACTAGACTAGCACCACCCTCTGCATTTTCCTTTGAAGCCCTTGGACATTCTTCCAAGATCTGTGCCAAGGCATTCAAAGGCTTTAAATAGCATTGGGAGGCAAAGTCAGCTGTTTTAGGAGGCCCAGCTATAAGAACCATCTTAGTTGTTCAAGTTAAAATTTGGCTTTGAAGTTTTTAGTGAATCTTATGATTATTTTACTGTTATTTATTTTATATAAAAGCTTGCCACCTGCCAGAGAAGCCTATTCTGAGAGAAGCCTTAACAACACCCTTCAGCAGCTTGGTGCTCTCCAAGGTGTGTTGGACTACAACTCCCAGCATGCCCCAGCCAGCCATTACATGCACATGAGTCTGCTGAGTCCAGTGTATAGTTAGTCACCCATTATTACCCATTGGAATATCCATCTAGGATGGAATATCTAGACTGAAGACCTGTAGATATTTCTCAGTTTATTTATGGAACTGCACAGTGGGATTATCAGCCATCAATTGGAGACAGAACCTTACTGATTACATCTAAATTAATCTAGGTATGATTTTCTTTCAAGAAAATAGTGGATGCATTTTCCTTTCAACCCCTTGGAAATTCTTCCGAGATCAGAAATAGGGAACTTTTAGTCCTCCACATGTTGATTCCAACTCTATCAGCCATTGTCAGAAAAGGTTGTAGTTTACAACAACATCTGGAGGGCTGCAACCTCCCAAGTAGATGACAGAGTAAGACTGTCTCTGGACTGAACCACTTGTGGCCTGTAGTTGAGGGAAATCAGATGGCGGAGTAATTTTCCAAATTAAACAGCTCAGCAAACTAGACGTCAGAGGGATAAGATTGTACCCTACCAATAAGATAGGCCTATTTTCTACATCCAAGGGATTTCTTGGGGAAGAAGACATACAACCAGGCCATCCTCCCGCCCTCTGAAGTGGTGCAGGCCAAGAACCCTCCCACCCCACTCTGCAGTGAAGTAGATCTGAAACCCATTTTGTACACCCGTTTCTGCACATCAAATGCTTCCCTTCAGGAGGTAACTCACATGTAGATGGTGATGTGGTGATCACACGTGTGTGTACACTGCTGTATGATTGCACCTTCTCAGCGCACCTACACCAGGTGTGCACACCTACACAAGGGTGTGTGATCATCTTTCTGCATGGTCATCTACCTCCTGTGTGCAAGCCAGCTGCATAGCATGTCCACCACCTGGTGCATGCAAGCGAGTAAGGGGCAGACTCCCAACACTCCCAAGTTTCCATCAGGCAGTTGGAAGGGGGCCATGGTTAAGGATTCTCCTTCCTCTTTGTAGTTCTCTACGTCTCCCCTTCAGATTTGCTTCCACGGTTCCCCAGTGTAGATTGACAACAGGGAGACAAGGGGAACTGCTAAAAATGGCACACCTCCATAATCCACGACCAGAAAACTTCTGTCAACAGCAAGACTCTGCTGGTGTCCACCATTATTTAGGGTCTCGAGGTTAACTAGCCTTAATTACATGTGGAAACAAAGTAATATGCAATCTTGATTTCCAGCACTACCAATAAGCATGCTCATAAATATTGTATTTTTATTGCTACAAGTCTGTTTATATCAGAACACATACTAGGCATAATGATTAAATCACCGACACTACAGCAACCAAACAGTTGGTTGAACTGCTAAATATTTTGTGGGTTTGGGTAATTATGAGTATTGCATATGGTGCATTTCCGTATTTTTGCTCCTACGTCTATGCTATGGCACTTCAAAGATATCAGGATGTTGGCTGCATTCGTTTCTTTTGTAGTAAATGTTCTTTTTTTGCATTTATCCATTACTTATTCTAAGCCTGACTAGAATTGTATTTAAATATGTTGACTTCCAACATGCAGGGGGCAGCTTTGGAAACATGCAATGTAGTCTGTATTTTGTGGGCTGATCTGTAATATAAAGCAGTAAGATTTTTTTTCTATTGACAATTTTTAAAGAACTTGTTTTAGACAAACACTACTGAAGCTTTGTTCTGTGTATTGCTATACATTTCATACTATAGCTTTTATGGAGCCCTTTAGTTACTTGCAGTGCTGCTTTCCCAGGAGCTGGTGGGCTCCAATCCCTCATATTCCCTGAGGCATTAATAGGGAATGATGGGAATTGTTGCAGTCCTGCAGCATCTGAACACCCAAGGTGGGAAAGCACTGTAAGAGCTTTCAAAGTGCTACACATTACTTCAGAAGTCTTCCCAACCACCCTACAAAGTTGATCGGTTACCTATAAACAGTGCTTTTTTGTAAAAGAAAAAGAAAAAGTGCCGGAACTCACATCTTGTTCATCTTTTATTTAGGTTTTTTTTTTTTTTTTTTTTTTTAGGGTAATCTTTTATTAGCAGGACCAGTGGTTGAGAAGTAATTAGTAATTTTTTTCATTTTTAAATTTGGGGTCACACTTTAACACTAAAAGTTAAAAAAAGATTTTCAATTCATCAACTTTTTTTAAAATAAAATTATTTACCTTTTGCACATAGCCAGTCACTCTACACACACCAATATTGTGTAATGAAACATAACGGTCGCAGCCCACAGTAAGCACTCAGCGCACAACCACACGACCAATCACAAGCCGAGCAGCACCACAAGCCGAGCAGCGCCATCACAACCAGCGCGGACACACAAGCAGCCCGCATGCACCATTTTAATGATTTTGCTGCCGACCTGCTACGCCCGATAGGGCGATTCAAAATCACGTGGAAAAATCCTTCGAAAAAAGGTGCCGGAACACCCTGCAGTGTGTGATGCCATCTCTACCTCCTTCAGTTTTTTCCCTCAAATACCACCTTTCTCAAGCTCCCTTTGCTTAGCACAGTCCCCTATTCCTAATTTCCCACAATCATATTTTAAGCACATGACCTTCCATCCTTCCGTTGTTTCTGCACCTGTACCTGCATGGTGGCAGGAACTGTCCTGTTTGTTTGTTTGCTAAGAACTGTAAGGAAGCATATACACGGATGGAGCTGCATATTTTTATTAACACCTCCTTGTGAGGAGCAGGGATGTGCCCTCATTTTATCCTCACAGCAATACTGTGAGATAGGCTAGCCCAAGAATTAGTGACTGGTCTAAGCAGCTTTCTGGCTGAGCTTGGATTTGAACCGTGGTCTTTCTGTGTTAAAAGTCCAACCCTCAGACGGGTGGATCACATCGCCCTCCCTCTGTTAGCCCCATGAACCCCTTTCACAGGGCTGTGATAGGTACCCAAGTCCTGCTCCCACCGGCTTCTCTACTTCCAGATAACAATGTTCCACAAGGCAAGCTGTCTCTTGGCCAGGGCCGTAGCTCTTTGCTGTTCCAGAGTTTTCACTACACAAACACAAAGCACACAGACACTCGTGGCGCACCTCATCTCTTTCATTTTGCACTTTATAGGAGCTATCCATGGTGGCAAACCCATTTTTGGTATGGCTTTCAGCCTCCAACAAAGCTCAAAATGAAACTTGCAACAGATGAGGAGCCCCACTGACACAGGAGGCAACCGCCACCCATGCACTCGCTTGTGCAAGTGCATACACACATGTGCACAAACATATTGGGCTCCACACGAGATATATGAACATATAGACACCACATGCAGGTGCATATACAGAGAGAGATACAGGTACATGTGCACACACAGAAAGATATACACATCTCTACACGTACACACACACACGTGTACACATGCACCAGACACACACAGACATACAGATGCGTATAGAGGCATACGAACGCGCTCACAGAGGGAGAGAGCGCGCAAGGGACATACGCAGACTCCTCTACACGTAAACCACCCACCCGCAGTTCACACATCTCGCCTTCCAGATCATGCGTCGCTCTGAAGAACCCTCGTTCTGCGCGCGCTCGCGCCCTCTCTCGCTCGCGCGGGGGGGGGGGGAGTGGAGTGGGGAGGGGCTGGGAATCCGACTCGAAGTGCGGGCAAGAAGCGGGCGAAGGCTTCAGCGGCTGCGACCGAGCATGCTCTGGGTGAGCGGCGCATGCTCCGTCGCCTTCGGCCAGGGTCGGAGAGGCTTGCGTGGTGCCTCCGGACTCGCCTGCCGCCGGAGGAGTCGCAGCCGCCTTCGGCCGCCCGGTTCGATCGCGCCTTCCTTCGGGGCCGCCGGAGGGTGGGGAGCTGCTGGCCTTGGAAGCGGCGGGGGCCTTTGTTCGGCAGAGGAGGAGCCGCTGGCGCCACGTCCCTCCTGCTTTGCTGAGGCCTGAGTGACATTCCCCTCTGCCTGTCACCCGACGAAGGTGGGTGGCGGCGGGGGCTCCTCTCCTGGGTGCTTTTCGCCTCCTCTCCCTGCACCCCCTCCCCAGCCTTTGCTACAGACCGCTGCATTTCTTTCTGCTCTGGCTGCGTAGAGAATCGGCTCAATTTCTGTATGAATCTGGGAATTATGCTTACGTCCTAGGGCGGAAACCTGTGCATGTTTAGGCAGGAGGAAAAAGCCCTGCAGCTCCCCGCCGGCAGTTGCAAGACTTGCGGTTCGTTTTTCTGTCCAAACATGCATAGGATTGGACCCTTCATGAGTGAAAGCAGACTTCCCCAACCTGCCGCCCTTCCAGTCGTGTTGTACTGCAGTTTCTATCATCCTTGCCCAGCTGGTAATGGTGAAGGTTGTAATAACAGCACATATTGGAGGGTGCGAGCTTGGAAAAATCTGGCATGAATGCTTTCTGCACAGGCACCCCAGTTTAATGCAGAACAGTAACATCAGGGCTCATCGCATTTCCGTGACTCAGCCCTGCAATCTTTTCAGTGATGTGGCATAACGCTAGATCTTCTGTGATCCCTTTGTCCTAATCCAATGCAACGTTAATTACCTTTAAGTTGTAGAGGCACAATCCTATACATGTTTAGACAGAAAAAACTCCTACAACTCCTAGAATGCCCCAACTGGGAGCTGTAGGATTTTAAAATGCATATAGGATTTCTCCCTAAAGGATTTTTGAGGTGAGGGGTGGGATGAGGTGCATGTGTTTCAGGTCTGCCATATTTATGTCTTCCGTGGCTTTCAAGATACTTGTCTTTAGGACCTTTTAATGCAGTCTTTCCCCACTTAACATTGTCCAGAAGTGCTGGACTCCATTTGCAAGACAGAGAGGCTTGAGACTGCTGGGAGTCGTAGCCAGCACATCTGGGGAGCACCAGGCTAGGAAAGGCTTTCCTATAGTCTAGCACATCTGGTAACCCTGACAGAGTTGATATTAAGTGCCTTACTGTGTTCCTAAGTCTACTGCGTTCAATGGAGCTTACTCATAGGCATGCATCGTTAGCTGTCATAACCATCCCTTCTTGATACAGCTTTGGCTAATTTTTAAAGTCTCTGGGCTCTATTTATTTTATTTAGTTAAGTTTTTATATGCCGTCCCCTTGCTGCATAGCCTCGGGATGGCTCTAGCACCTGCCTTCTCCTTCTGTAAACCAATAAAATGAAACGTGCTGATGAACATTAAGAAAACAAAAATCATGAGTACAGAAGAATTGCACAACTTTAACGTTAACAACGAAGAAATTGAAATTGTGAAAGATGTTGCATAACTTGGCTTGATCGCCAGTTCAGCCAAGAAATCTGAAGACTGAGACTCGGAAGGAGAGAATGAAGGAACCAGAAAAGATGATCAAGTCCAAGAATGTTTCACTGGAGACCAAAGCCAGGATCATCCACACTTTTGAATCCCTGATCACTATGTATAGATGTGAAAAATTGACATGGAGGAAGCTGACAGGAAGAAAATCCATGTGTTCAAAACATGGTGCTGGAGGAGAGTTTTGTGAATATCCTATATTGACAGAAAGATGAACAAGATCAAAGCAAGCCAGAACATGTCCTGGAAACAGAAATGAGAAAACTGAAGCTATCAAGCTTTGGGCATATCATGAAAAGGCAAGACTCACTGGGGAAGACCATCTTGCTAGGGAAAATTGAAGACAGAAGATGAAGACTAAATATGTGATTGATTGACTCCATCAAGGAAGCCACAGCCTGGAGTGTACAAGAGTTGAGTAGGGTTGTCAAGGATGGGACATTTTGGAGGGGTCTCATTCACAGAGTCGCCATATTCATTCATTCAATCAATCAATTTATATGCCTCCCCATCAGCCATAGGCTCTCTAGGTGACTCTTAATGTATACCATATGTTTGAGACAACAGCATGTAACAAGAACATACTAGCAGGGTGCCAAAGAGAACTAGCAAACTGATCCAGATTTGCATAGGTATGGCAGAGCAAAGCCTTCAAGCAAATTTACCAAAATATCAGAGTTGGAAAAGTTATTCATGCATAATTGTTTGGGAGAAGCCAGGCCTGCTGGCACCCTCATTCATGGGCCCTGCCCTTGCACACTTTTAACCCCCCTGTCTGCGGAGGGGGCAGGTGAACAGCTGTGCTCCCTCCCCTGTTAATCTCCTATGGCTTCTAATTAATTACTGTGTTTTAAAAGCAAAACCCTGAGGTGCGTAACCCCTGGGGTTCCCTCAGCATGTGAGTTTCAGGTATCTCCATTTGGTGGTGTGGTGCTGATGGAAAGATAAACACATATCCTCTTATCTATTAGTATAGATAATTAATAGCATTAACAATTGAATACGTGAAATAATGATAGCTACGTCTCTGAACTAATTCCGATGAATTCTATCACTATCATCAAATAAAGAGAGAAAAACTTGGGTTTGGAAAGACAGGTAACCAAGGCTCGAACAAATCTTGTTGTGATTATTACACAGAGTAGGCTAAATTAGGGTGTCAAGGTGTTTTCATATCATAGAATCAAAGCAGAGTTGGAAGGGGCCATGAAGGCCACTGGGTCCAACCCCCTGCTGTTGCAGGACTCCAGTTCACACCATCCTACTCAGATGGCTGTCCAGTTTCTTTTTAAATGTCTCTAGTGTGGGAGAGCCCACCACCTCTCCAGGCAGCTGGTTCCACTGTTGTATTGCTCTGGCAGTGAGGAAGCTTTTCCTGATGCCCAGCCTGAATCTGGGTTGTTGCTGCTTGACTTGATTATTCCGTGTCCTACACTCTGGTATCAGTGAGAAGAGATTTTGACCTTCCTCTTTGTGACAGCCTGAAAGTATTTTTAGAGTGATACCTTGTCCCCTCTCAGTCTTCTCTTCTCAAGGCTGAACATGCCCAGTTCTCTCTGTCTCTCCTTATAGGGCACAGTTTCCAAATGCTGGATCAATTTTGTTGCCCTCCTCTGGAACCTTTCTATTTTTCTTCATCTTTCTTAAACCTTGGTGCCCAGAACTGGACAAAGTATTCCAGATGAGGTCTGACTAGTGAGGAAGTACTACTTCTTGTGATTTGGAAGTAATACTTCTATTAATGCATCCCAAAAAAGCATTTGCCCTTTTTTGCAGCTACATCGCATTGTTGGCTCATATTTAGCCTGTTGTCCACAATAACTCCAAGGTCTTTTTCTTTTTCAGTTCTATTGAGTCACATACTGCCCATCTTGTATCGATCATCTTTCTTGCTTTCAAAGGAAGTCTTCCTTTCTGGTTGTCAGATTGTTTCATCCTGTGGAAGAAAGAAAAATGTCTGCACTGGAGCCAAATCAGGTAGGAAAATGGTTTAAGGAAGCTGTCAAAGGTATCAAAACTGCCTGTTTGATACCTAGACCCTGAGACACCTAAAACTTTTAGGCAGGCACTCATGTGGTTGACATAGTTGACAGAGTAAAAGTCTATGCTTTTTTTACGATCAAAAAAAGACCTACAATATGTAGCATTCTCCAGTCAGCTATGGTGCCTTGGAGTCTGGCACTTATAGGACATTTTTGGCCTAAATGCGCATGGTATTGCATCCTTAGAATGTGCTGAAGCTGCTGCGCATCTGGTCAGGGATAACAACAAGGCCAGAAAGAAAGAATTCTTCAGATATAATCAGAAGCCAGAAACCAGATAGAGGCAGTTGGATCCCTGGATGAAGTTAAAGGAGTACCAGAGGAGGATAAAGAGATGGCAAAGAAGCTGAATCAATTCTTTTCAGCTGTCTTCACAGCAGAGGATTCAGGGCAGATACCTGTTCCTGTAGTGACAGCAAAAGATGAAATTTGCAACCTTATTGACATACTGAAAGTTTATAAATCACCAGGTCCAGAGTTCTTAACTCGGGTGTAAAAATGCTGACTTTCTTATCAAAATATGTAACATGTCCCTAAGATCATCCTCCACACCAGAGGACAGGAGAATGGACACTGTTATACCCCTTTTTAAAATGTGCATATTAAAATGTGCATATTTTTAAAAAGTGCAAATGTGCATTTTCAGGGGCATCTGGAAAATTGCAGGCCAATTAGCTTAATGGCAGTGTAAACTGCTTGGTGTCATTACAGACAGAATTAATAAGCATAGAGAAGGACAAATCCTGCGGAAAAAGAATCATCGTGACTTCCACAACATGTGGACAGAAGTGATTTCGTAGACATTTTTACTTATACGGTGGTACCTTGGCTCATGAACTTAATCCATTCCCAGGACTCTGGTCGTGACCCAAATTGGTCGTGAGCCAAGTTAAATTTCCCATGAGGTTCAATGTAAATAAGGTTAGTCCATTCTATAACTATTTTTTTAATCAGAAAAATATGAAGCAAAACTATGACAAAGAACAACAAAGATTGCAGCCATCTCACCCCCCCCCGAGCATGAGCATGGCCATCTCCCCGCCCCCCCCACCAGCACAACCGCGATTGTACCTGTCATCCCTGCACGTCCCCATCATCCTGGCATCCTGGTGGGAGAGAGATGGGTGCACTCAGGGTGGGGGGAGATGGGTGCAAATGTGGGCACACTGGGGGAGGGAGAGACAGGTGCAATTGTGGGTGTGCTGGGGGGAGAGACAGGCATGAATGCAGGAGCGCTGAGGGGGAGAGATGGGCGTGAACACAGGTGCACTGTGGGAGGGAGAGACGGGCATGATTGTGAATGCGCTCATGGAGGGGGAGACAGGCATGATCATGCTGTGGGGGGAGATGACCAAGATCACAGTTGTGCTCCTGCAGGAAATATGGGTACAATCACGGGTGCGCTTCTGCAGGAAATACAGGCGCGATCACAGCCATCTCCCCACTCGGGGGGTGGGTGCGTAGGGAGATGGCCGCAATCGCGATCACCACCCAATGCGGAGTTCGTGACCTGAGTCAAAATTTTTATGAAATTTTTATTTGTGACCCAATTTGGTCTTGAACTGAGGCATTCCTGAGCCGAGGTACCACTGTAATTCCAAAAGGCTTTGGACACAGTCTCTCAAGAAAGACCCCAGAGCAAGCATCGTGGAATAAAAAGGGAGGCCCTCTTAATTATCTGTAACTGTTTAAGGAAGAGAAAGCAGCGAACAGGAACAAATGCTTATTTTTCCCAATGGAGGGATGAAAGCTGTGGGATCCCAAAAGGCTGAGGGAGTCAGAAATGTTAAGTTCCTTGAAAGCAATTCTTTGTTTTATTAAAGAAGAATTTAAAATGAATTAAAATCATTTGCTTGTGGAATTAGAATTGGAGATTAACACTGAGAAAGTCAACACTTCCTGCACTAGGAAGCATAGAAACTGATGTGTGTGTTCAAAAGAGAAGTGATGGAATTGAGGCACTGCAAACGGCAGTTTTAACTCCTAGAAAGGTGCGTGCATGAAGGGGTGGGGGCGGTTATCTGAATTGTTCAGGGAGAAAGACATTTCAGGCACTCGTGAGTGGGTGATTTGGGATGCGTTGGGAAGAGAGTCCTCCAGGAGCAAAGAAGATTCAGCATCGGGTACTTGGAATGGGGGAGAAACAGATCATTATGTGGGATTTAGAAGAAGGTTTGGGGAAGTTGGTTAGAGGAGATGCAAGAGGTTTTTCAGGGAAGAATGAGTAGAGAGCACAAAAGAGAGATAGGATGTTCCAAAATCAAGTGGTCTGATGTTTGGAATAGGGTGGTGTAGTAAGAAAAGGGTGGAAAGAGAGTGATTTGTATACGGGCCCCTTAGAGGGAAAAGGGAAGATAATGCAGAGATGTACCTCTCTGTTTCTGCTGACTTACAAAGTGGAGAGCAAGGTTGTTCTCTTTATTCCTCTTCTCAGATTTTAGGGGTAAATAAACCTAAACAAAACAAATTCCTCTTCTGCATTTGCTCATCAGGTATTAGAATAATGCTTTTTGAGGTGTCAGGAATTAAGGAAAGAAAGGCGGCGTGGCATCTGGTTGGCGGAGGCCTGGGCGAGGGTGACAGCCAGGGGGTTTTGGCAGCAGAGACATTTCTGTGGTGGAGAGAAGTTGTTGTCCAGGGGCAGGCTCCAAAATTTGCAAGTGTTGACACTAGTGCATGGAGGCGATTGCGGCACCAGGGCCAGCCCAGAAATGTGGAAGGCGCCCACATCCTGTGTTAGCGACTTCAGAAAACCCTCGTTCCCTGGCAGATGCAGGCCTCTCTTCCCAAAACAGCAGAATTAGGGGGGACAGGTCATAACAAAGCCCGAACAAACGTGTTTATAGCCTTTAATATTATTCCTTTGTCACTCCTTGATGTTTAATTGTTCAGTTCAACACATGCATTATTCAAAATTATATCTACAACAAATAATACTGAAAAAAGCAAAAGTTAGCCATGCTGAACATAAGGAATGTTCCAATATTCATATCAGTGTAATGCAATCTAATAAAGATTTCATGGTGAATAATGTAACAAGGTATTACATTACCTGCTCCACATGTAATAGCTACCCAGATGGCTGACCAGCCCAGCCAGCGTAATGGGCGCAGCCCGGCTCCCAGAGACAAGGTGCTCCTGCTGAGCTAATGGGGATATTTTATCATTGAGCTTTTGTCCATGGTGTCCAAATCTGAGTTGTGGGGGAATGACTGGAGTTTAATGCTGAGGGAGCAGATGAACAGTTGGAAGCAGTATGCGTGCTCTCACTCATCCACAACTGGGTAGCTGTGATGTGCAAACCGGGTCTCTCTGTGGTTTAATTAAAGATGCAATGAAAAATTCTGAATCAAAGCATTCTAAAAATAATTGTAGCAATAGAACACCAGGAGATCAATCACCCACCTTCTGGGAGGTTTGGCTTTACGGATGGCTTGGGATCCTCAACTCCTTAACAAGGTTTCTCCCTCTTTTAGAAGCCAGTGACCTTTGAGGATGTGGCTGTGTATTTCACGAAAGCAGAGTGGGCTTTGCTGGACCCATCCCAAAGAGCTCTGTACAGGGACGTCATGCTGAAGATCTATGAGAACATGGCATCCCTGGGTAAACATTACTTTCTCCTTACCTGATAGAGGAAGATGCTATGCATACCTTGCCACTCCAGCCATCTCTTGGGGATGCTTAGCTCTGGATCCCCTGCAGTGAGCGAGGGGAGCCCTCCAAACCCTGCTCCAACTCAGAGCTTTCCTTCCCCAGCAGCTGCTTCTTGAGAAGACCTCTCCTCATCCTGGGGTCCTTTGTGAGTAACTCTCTGATCCTGAGCTTTTCAGCAACATTCATTCATTCCACAGTGGAGGTGGGACCTGGAAAGCAACCCCTTTTCCCAAATCACAGAGGAAAGCTTGGACTAGACTCGTCAATGGGCTGTGTTTCCCCTAGCATGCCAGAATCACAGTATTCTTTTCACCTTCTAGAAGATCCAAAGTTTGGTCCCCAGCTTCTCCAGGTAGGAGTAGGAATAACTCCCTGGAAAGCTCCATCTGGTCAATGTCAACAATACTGGGCTGTATGGACTGACTTAATTGAAAGAAGCTCCCAATGCCATTCCTTCCTATTTCTTCCCTCCCTGCAGCGGGATCCTCTCCTTTAAAGCCAGACCTGATCTCCTGCCTGGAACAGGGGGAAGTGCTGTGGGCACCTGATCCACAAGAATACAGAGAAACTGAGAACCCAGGTGCTGGTTCAGGTAAGGCAGCTTGCCAGGACCTGTTCGTGGCTGGGCAGCCCTCTACACCATGCGGGCTTTTCCTGCAAACGCACCAGCTGCTTGGCTTCATTTTGCACAATATATTCTCCTGCTAGTCAGAGGGGAAACAAAATAGTTAAGCAGGATATTAACACCCCGGTTCCCTTGTCATCAGATAATGGTGATATCTTTATCACCAGCCAGTGTGGTGTAGTGGTTAGAGTGTTGGATTGGGGCTTGGGAGATCTGGGTTCGAGTCCCACTTAGTTATGATGCTCTTTTGGGTCATTCTGGGCCAGCCACTGACTCTCAGCATATTCTTCTCAGGGTTGTTGTGAGAGAGGAGGAGAACCTTGTAAGAGGCAAAAAAGCAGGATAGAAATGTAATGCAATAATAATGAGTACAGCACCTTTTCACCCAAACTTGTTTTTAATGCACCTGGTGGTTCCTGGGCCGAGTGAATGGCATCTAAGGAGAATTCAGTGCTGCAGCAGTGGTAAAGCTAAGGAGATGTGAGATGTGAGCCAGATCAGACCCTTGGGTGGGAGGTTATTGCAAATCTCATGTGAAACCAGACTGCAATGTTTTCAGTGCTTAATTATTGCTTTGACTCCCTGGATAAAATATGGGATTAATATTATGAGATAGGAGCTTTTTAGTGGTGGCACCAAGATAATGGAACTCTAGAGTTTGCTTAGCTTTTGAACTCACTGTTGGTATCTATTTTTAACCTTTTGTTTATTTTAATGCCTGACTTTATCATTTCAGTTGATTTGTTCACAAACATTGAACAATAATTAATTCTTTTTTACATTTTAATTCTGCTGTTTCTCCAGGGAACAACATCATTTTCTACCCCCATTTTCTCTTCACAAGATTTCTGCAAGGTAAATTGGCTGAGATTGCAGTGAATGTTCCAAGATCACCTGGGGAACTTCATGACTGAGTGGGAATTGGAACCTGGGTCCTAGTCCAACACCCCATCCCTGATGGCACTGTGCTTCCACGCAGCATTTTATTATGTCATATTTTATCTTCTGTTTCTAAGATGCTTTGAATACTTTCAGCAGGAAAGCAAATTAAAAACAATTTCAATTGAACGTGGGCAAACTTGGTAAAAACTAATACAAAATATTTTCTAATAATAATTCTGACAAAATTTGCAAACGATCAGTTTCTAATATTTATGAATTCAAGCATCTTTCCTCTAAGGAGAGCAGGATACTGTATAGTAAGGGTGGGCAAACGTTGGCCTTGTGGGATCTATCTTGTTTTAATTAGAACCACAAGATCCACCAACTACAGTTCAGTGTAAAAGACAAAACACTTAAAATCAAGGAATTCCAAGCTTTGAGTATTTGAACTGAATGGAACTCGGAGTCCTTTTATATATACATCCATTCCTGGTTACCCCACATGTTCTTTATTTCAGCAGTAAAATTAAGCGGGAGGGGGAATCATTTTGTTGCTGCTGTTGTTAAATCACTGTAGGTCAGAAATCTCTGCCTGGTCACAGAAGATTACCTGGAGATCTACTTTTTGCCCACTCTTAGTATGAAATTGAGTTCTCAAGACCCAAACAGGGCTAGTACAGACAGGGCATTCCGGAGGGCATTACCCATAGAGTAGGAGATGGCTTTTCAGCACAGAACAGCAACAAGCGCTGTGCTGAAAGAGCCGCGCATGGAACTCAGATCCAGTTTGTTCCTCAGCCGACTTTCTAACCATGACCTGGATTCTTTGAAATGTACATGAGCATACTAATGTCTTTATCTTCTATTGTGTTCCAACAGGAGAGGAACACACAAGTGAGGGAGGACAGAGCCCTCTTCAGTCAGGAAGTCCTGCACTGGTGAAGCTGCAAGACACGTGGTTGCTGAGAGCCTGGGAGAGCATTGCCAATTATCAGCAAAATGGTGAGAGCTCTGGGACTTCACCTGGAGCAGAGAGACAACAAAGAAAGTATCTTGAGAAGCAAGTATATAAAGCGATCACTAGTGGGAAAAGCGTGGTCCAAGAGCAAGGTCACAAAAGTAAAAGTTCAAAGAAGAACTCTGCTTCTAAAACTTCTAACAAAAGCAATACGGTCGCAAAATCAGAAAAGTGCTCGTTCTGTGGCAAAACCTTTTGCAATAACACTTACCTTGTTATACATGAGCAGTCCCACACCGGACAGAAGCCACATGTATGCACAGACTGTGGGAGAAGTTTCAGCTCTCCTTCAAACCTTCTTTCACACAAGAGAATTCACACAGGGGAGAGACCCTATCAATGCTCAGATTGCGGGAGCAGTTTCATACGCAACCGAGACCTTCAAGTTCACAGAACGATCCACACTGGTGAGAAACCACATCCGTGCTCCTATTGTGGAAAAAGGTTCCGGAGCAAAACACACGTGGTTAGACATGAAAAGATCCACAAAGAAGAGAGGCCGTTCACATGTTCAGAGTGTGGGAAAGGATTCAGACTGAAAGAGCATCTTAGGGTTCACAAGAGAACGCATACAGGAGAGAAACCTTATGAATGTTCGGACTGTGGAAGGAGCTTCAGCTGTGCAGCAAACTTTCACCGACATAAAAAAACTCACGGGGAAAAACTGCATAAATGTTCAGATTGTGGGAAAAGCTTCAGAAATAGCTCAGACCTCAAATCACACAGGAGAATCCACACTGGTGAAAGACCTTATCAGTGCTCATTCTGCAGGAAAAGCTTTCGTTGTAGCTCAGGCCTTGTAACTCATAAGAGAACCCACCAAGGAGAAAAACCATATAAATGCCCAGAGTGTGGGAAATGCTTGAGTCAGAAATGGTGCCTTATGAATCATTTGAAAATGCACACACACAAATGTTTGGACTGTGGGAAAAGTTTCAGTCAAAGTTCAGCCCTTCAACTGCATAAAAGAAAACATACAGGTGAGAAACCCTTTAGATGCTTGCCTTGTGGGAAAACCTTTGATCGGAGGTCAGTACTGATAATCCATGAGAGAATTCATACAGGAGAGAGACCATATGTTTGCTCAGAGTGTGGGAAAAGCTTTATACAAAAATCTAAACTTATTCGACATGAAAGAACCCACACAGGAGAGAAACCATACAAATGCCCTGAATGTGAGAAGAGTTTCAGTGAAAGAGCAAATCTTGTTCAGCATGTAAGAATCCACACAGGAGAGAAACCATACAAATGTTCACACTGTGGGAAATGCTTCAGCCAAAGATCACATTTTATTGAGCATGAGAGATCCCACCCAGGAGAGATATCCTTTGACTGTTCAGAATGTGGGAAAAGCTTCAGCCATGCTTCTCGTCTTTGTAAACATCAAAGAATTCACACAGGAGAGAGCCCATATAAATGCTCAGAATGTGGAAAAAGTTTCTCTGGTAATGCACATCTTAAATCTCATAAAAGAATCCACTCTGCAGAGAAGCCATACCAGTGCTCAAATTGTGGGAAAAGTTTCAGGCATAACTCAACACTTACAGTACATAAAAGAACACACACAGGAGAGAAACCATTTCAGTGTTTGTCCTGTGGGAAAAGCTTTAACAACAGTTCAGGTCTTACCGCACACAACAAAATTCACTTGGGAAAGAAACGATTTCAGTGTTTAAACTGTGGGAGAAGCTTCATGCAGAGATCTGCCTTTCTTAAACATAAGAGGATACACAGAATGAGGGAAACATTTAAATGTTCTGACTGTAAAAAGACTTTCTTACTGAAAGCACAGTTAATTGTACATCAGAAAACCCATACTTGAGGTGGGAAGCCTTCAAAGCAGCCAGGCTGAAGGGGGAGCATATTTGCACAGATTATATATTACTAGCAGATAAACAACTCTAGGATGATGGAAAGATAAGAAGAGCTAGAACTGCTGGCACAGCCGAAGTTTATGCCACAACGGAAAAGGTGTGTTAGAAGACCTTTCTTTCCTACTCCTCAGTCACAGGAGAATTAAGGTATCCAGAGAAAGGACAGGGACCCTATGACCCTCACAGTGTTGGACTTTGACTCCCATCATGCTTGGCCATTTGCTGTGCTAGCTGGGCCTGATGAGTCTGGAGTCCAACATCATCTGGAGGGCCACATATATGCCAGCCCTGCTCCAGGGGGTAGCACAACTTTCTTAGGTCTTGGGAGCCTTGTGGGTTTTTAGGGGGAAAAAAGTAAGATTACCTTATTTCATAGACTCAAGAGCCAGATTAGAGATAACATTAACATTTAATCAGCACAATATTTTTCAGAAATGGTAACTGACAGCTTCTGAGAGCCTGGATAACAGGAAGTGAGAAGGGAGGCGTTTACCTCCCCACTGCCTGCCACGGGCCCAGCAATGCCTCCTGCCAAGCTGCTGAAATTGTACCCATGCGAGCAGCATCATGTCTAGTTTGTTCCGCATTAAGAGAACCCTTGTCTGTTCAGTAGTGCATAAGCCACAAGCTGCCATGCGAACGAGAGTTAGCCTTAACAACAAACCATGGTTAATCCTGGGTTGTTTAACCCCTATATAATCCAGTGTCTGATTTCAAATATGACTGTAACAAGCTACAAAAGGGGCAGATCAGAGCTTGTCAGTTGAAAGCGGACATAGCAAGTGTGCCAGAGGGAGTGCACTTGCATGCTCCTCCGCTGTATTTCAGCCATTTGTGGGTCAGGTAACCCATGGGTGCTTTTACATGCAGACTGGTTCACTTTGTATGATGAAAACGCCCTCGGTTCTTCATGCCGTCAGTACATGAAGAGTAAAATCTTCAGAGAAACAGCATAGGAGATCAACTAAAATATAATGATTGTGTAGTTGTTAGCTTGAGAAGGCAAGGCTCATTGGGAAGATGATCATGCCAGAGAAAGTTGAAGGCAGCAGAGGAAAAGGAAGGCCAAGTGGGAGATGGATGGACTCCATCAAGGAAGCCACAGGCTTGAATTTACAAGAGCTGAGCAGGGCTGTGAAGGACGGGGCCTTTTGGAGGGCTCTCATTCACAGGGTCTCCAGGAGTTGGAGGCGGCTTGGCGGCATGTAACAACAACAAAGTTCTTAGCTAAAGAATGTGCGGCACTCAGAAGATTAAACATTTTGAACCTATGAGTTTGTCATGTGTGCGCACAACAGAGTTCTCTTTGGGCCAACTCTGTGACAATCGCACATTGGGAGTAGAGGATGCACTTTTTGTGTCCTGAATGCTCTTCTGTACGTGTGTGTGCACTCGTGTGTGTTTGTGCACCTTGAAGGAAGGCCCATTCATCCTTCTGTAGTTGGAATGAGAGAATAGGATGGGCTGTAACATTTCTGTTGAAATTGTGGGTCGGCATTCCTGAATGCTGCAGAAAACATCCAGGATCGATTCCATGGAGAGGTGGCAGCCTTGATTTTACAGGAACCGAGCCAGGCTGCCAAGGACGGGGCATTCACTTTGGAGGGCTCTCCTTCATAGGGCCCCAGTAAGTTGGAGATGATGGCATGTAACAAGGTGAAAACTACCATAGGTAGTTAAAAGGTGTCTTTTAACACTTACCTGGATTTTTTTTATTTTCTCATATGTTAAAATGTGAATATGAGAAACTTTCTAGATTATCGCAATTGTCTCCCTGCAGTGTTAATTCTTCACTTTGAGGACTGTATTTTCATACATGTAGGAATATGAATCCTCCCCCTACAGCCTGAAATGGTACAGCTCACTCTTTTCAACCTGTGTCCACCTCTCTTTCCATTGCACATATCTTCAGCTTTGAGACTCTTAGCAACAGACAAGTAGAAGATCGTATTTTCCTCACTGCCAAATTTTCCTTTCCTCTGGCTCCTTCACTGTTGCTTTCAGACATGTCCGCCTCACTTATCCTCAGAAATAACAGCAATGCATCTCTTTGTCCATCCATTCTCTGCAATTTTTGGCCCATCATGTATTATTACGTTAATAAGTGCTCTGGGCTGTTCACAACATGTAAGTCACCCTTCCAGATTTCAACCAGGCCTGACCATGCTTAGCTTCCAAGAGAAGGCTGGACCAGGCACTTCAGGCTGCATGGAAGCTATGTATGTAACTAATCCCTGCCTCCGAACACCTAGAATGCGCTCCTTGCTCCAAGGTCTCTGCTTTCCTCCAGTCCTGCTTTCAATCCCCACTACAGTGCTGCTTGTGCCTCCTACTGGCCTCATGGCAAAAATCTAAATTCAGTTCTCATTCATCCTGATTTCTCTGCTGCCTTAGATACAGTTGGTCACCTTCTCCTGCCTGAATGCATTTTGCATCCTGTTCCTATAGGGAAACTCTCTTCCCCCAGGCCTTCTTGGGCTTCTGCACTTTTCTTTCTTCACACTGTCACAGAATGATATCACATCTTGTGGTTGTCAATCGCTTCTGCATACAAGTGGCATGTTTTTGTACCCATGCCATTCCCCCCTCGCTCCAGTCCCAACTGGTACCCCGATGTCTCTCCTTCGATGCCTCTATTCCAACTTCACTCTCCATGTTCACTTTTCTTATCCACTGATAATTAACACCATCAGACACATAGATCTGAACTCACCTCTTTCCTGTTTGAGTCATTCATTTTAAACATTATGTTTTAAAGTTAATTGTGTATCCTACCTTTCTACCAAATGCTGCTCCATTGCAAAGGGAAGCAAACTGTATGTAATGTTGCTTTAGAGTTCTGCGGTTACGATAAGGAGGCAGCTATTACATAGCTTTCTCCAATCCCCTTGTACTGTACTACAACACCTATTATCCCCAGCCAGCGTGGACTTAGAGGACAGCTGCTGTTGCGAAAGGAGGCTAACTTGCAATGGTGCTACTGGACTTGCGGCAATCACCTACCTATGACTAATTATGCCTGTCTTTAGCTATACTGACTTAACCTGGGAGCTCGGTGGGCCTTTCTTCTGAGTAGGCCTGCACAGGATTGTGCCCTTGATCTGTTCTGTGGCTGTGATGCTTTGGAAACTTGTGTGGCTTTGTATATTTGTTTTCTTCCACAAAGTTGTCTACCACTGTAGCGTGTGTGGGCTGATTATATGTGCATATGATATTGTTTCTTTTGGGACACTGTCTAGAGTTTCCTGGAGTAGATGATAGGCATTTAAGCGATAAATGAAAATATGATGTTTCCACGGTGGAAGGGGCAAGCCACTTTTACACCGATCAGCAGGTGGTCTCTTTGACCATGGAACTTGCCGAGTGATTTTTAAACATTTTAATGCCTGTGTTCATGGGCATTACTAGTTTATTGTTCCCCTTTGTTTGTTTGTAACCTTGCCTAGGATTGTCATTTTTATTGTTTTCTAGTAGATAATGTTGGTACAGCTTAGAGGTCTGTTTTCAACTTGTTCATCCCAAAAGCCTCTCTTACCTGTTTTTCCATTTCAAGCCCTTGTAGCTGTAAGAATGCCTTGCAAATAAAACTCAAGTATCTTATTTTAGCAAAAAAATATACTTCTCTGACTGGTTTCTCTAGAACCACTGCTACCAAACACATAACTCCTGAACAAATGGAAGTAGAGTGAGAGAAGGAGACCCATTGCATATTTCAGTCCTGCAGACTCGGACTTCCGACAGATCAGCGAATCTAAAGAGTCCAGCAGTGCCAGTCGGGTGTCATGCCAATCATGGCGGATGGTTTAATTTTTGGCACAGCTTCTTTGATACTGTCCCATGAGCTGTACACTGGAACAGCTGTGTACCTATACCCCCTCAAGGAGTCATGGCTTTTGCTCTCATAATTGTGGGTCATCCTTGCAGCAATCTGGAGGAAATTGAGAATGGGAAGGAGTGACATGGGAGCTGTCATGAACAGGGAGAGGAAGGGGGAAGTCTAGAGACAGAGGAGGAAACGAAGGAAAGGGGCTGGAGCTGGAGGAGTGCATGAGGGCAAGGGATAGGAACACGGAAAGCTGCAGTGCCGACCCATCGAGGAGCAGATGTCTAGGGTTCCCCTTAGTAGAATGTGCTCACCCCATTTTGAATTGAGCACCGATGTGGCATCGTGGTGAAGGCACTGGATTAAGAATTAGGAGGTGTGGGTCTCGTCGTCACTCAGCCATGAAGCCCGCTGGGTGACTTTGGGCCAAGGCATGGACTCGCTACTTCAAAAAGCTGCTGTGGGGAGAAAACAGGAGGATTGTATAAGACGCTTCGTATCTAAATGTAATAAATATAAGACACTGTATATAAATGTAATAATAAATACGAATGGATACAACTTTGTATTGCAGGCCTCCTGGGTTTCAGTTGTTCCGCTTAACTGTGTAAGAAGCCAAGGCATCGGTTGTCTCTCGGCAAGGCAGCCACGTACCTGTTGAGGGCAAGAGCATAAACCTTCCTGCTTTGCAACTTTCCAGTCTCAAGTAGGGGAGACAGTGTGGTGTAGTGGTTACAAGCATGTGACTGGGACGCGGACATCTGGGTTCAGCCCTGGAGGCAACTGGGTGACTTTGGGCCAATCACAGTCTCTCAGCCCAACCCACCTCACAGGTTTACATAGAAACAGACCAAGTCAGAAGGGATCTCCCAGGCCATCTAGTCTGACCCCCACCCCCAGCTCCAGCTGGCTCTGCTCATGGCATGACTACCATGTGCATGTCCAGACTATCCTTGTTACCGTGGAGATATAATTGAGAGCAGGAACAGGATGATGCAAACTACTTTAACATTCTTTAAAGAACGAGAAAAAAGGCTGGGCATTAAGCTCATACATAAACAAATGCCTTGGTATCATATTATCATACCCTCGATCATATCATGCGTGATCAAGAGATAAGCATTATCTGTTAAGCTGACGAACTTTCCATTCGCCCAAATATCTGCTTAGCAACAGAACGGTATACACGCCTTGAACAGTCGCACAAGGGAACAAAACAAGGGCAGGATGTGGTCGGGGTGGTTTTGTTCTGCAAGGGTGTAGGAGCCCCGCGCGGGCTGGGCTCACTCCCTGCGAGCCGCAGCTGCACAGCTTCCCGTTGCTCCGTCCCGAAAAAAGCGAGTGCGGGGCGCGGCGCTTGAAATTCCAACCTCTGCTGCTGCTGCTGCTGCTGCTGCTGCTGCTGCTGCTGCTGCTGCTGCTGGGGCAGCACGTAAAGGAGAAAGGTGTAAAACCGTGAAGATGAAAGCCTAATATAACCCGATTTGCTAGTCTTCCCACCTGGCCGCTTCGACCTTGTTAGCGCGTTCGTTCCGCGCAGCCCTGCTTTTTGCTGCCACGTTAGAAACAGCTGGCGGTGCAGTTTCCCGCCCAAGATGCAACCTTTGAAAATCACCTCCGAGGGAAAAAAGAGACCCTGAGTTCGGCACCAAAGGACATTCCGGGTTCGGGGGTGGAACATATCTGATCCCGGGGGAAATTGTGGGGAACAAAGTTTCCTCTAAGAGACGAGACGCAGAGTACTAAGCAGCAACAGTTTAATACGGTCTGGCCAGACCGGGCACTCACCCTGAAGGGAGCGCGCTGGAGGAACAGTTTACACAACCTTTTATTCCCTACTTCACGCGCAAAGTCCCTGCCTCCTTTCTCCCATTGGCTGGGATAGTGGGAATTCACACTCTTCTCCGTCTGCCTTCATCATACTACCCCTTGGTATGTTACCCCCACCTGCTCATACGTCCCATGTTCATGTTAATAACCCTCTGAGTCAGACTAGGAGATACCACTAATATGCATTAGCTAATTATGCAGCCGTACTTTGGATTCTAAGTTCAAAAGTTTAATGCCACATCTAGGGATTACATCTTGTAGTCTATTAGTTTGTGTTAGCACTAATTTAATAATTAATCACTAAGTGATCTATAGCCTCAACTGTTCTAGTCCATTAATCACAATAATCTTATTAATTACTAAGTGATCTATAGCCTCAACTGTTCTAGTCCGTTAGTCACAATAATCTTATTAATTACTAAGTGATCTATAGCCTTAACTGTTCTAGTCTGTTAGTCACTGCAATTTTCTACTTCTCACAAAATGATCTCGGATCCTAGGTGCACCCCACGCCCAGTTGCAGAGTCCAATTATAATCGGAGAACGATGCTCGAAACTTGAAGCAACAGTTCCGCAACCAGCCTCAGACGGACACCGGGCTGGCCCGGGCCTGCCTTGGGGCTTGCTGGAGTTGTAGTTCTCGTAAGGGCGATTCTAATTAAAGCCGCTTTTGGAAAAACTACATCGCCCGGCATGCAACGGGGGCCCCTTTTCCTACTGGCTTGGAGGGCGTAGAGGAACCGCGCAGCGCGTTGGAAACTCTTTGCTCTTCGGCTGCTCCGTTGCCCAGGTAAGAAGGTTTTTCGCAGTTCTCGTGCTAGGGTGATGAAAACCAAAAAGATTGTGAGCTGCTCCAAAGAGATCTCTCCAAGCTGGGAATCAAAATGACAAATGCAGTCCAGCGTAAGCAAGCGTAGAGTAATGCACGTTGGGGGAAAACAATCCCAACTACGGGAATAACGCTGATCTAGCAGTGACAGAGCAGGAAAGGGTTCTTGGGGGAGAGGGGCGGGCAGCTCGATGAAAATATCGGCCCAGCGTGCAGCTGCTACGAAGAAGACAAACTGCATGCTAGGCATAACTAGGAACGGAGTAGAAAATAAAACTGCCAAGATCGTACTCCCCTTATAGAAATCTTTGCTGCAACCACACTTGGAATATTGTGTACAGTTCCGGTTGCCTGACCTGAAAAAGTCCATGGCTGAGTTGGAAAAAGTGCAGAGAAAGGCAACCAGAACGATCCAGGGGCTGGAGCAGCTCCCCTATGAGGAGCAACTTCAACTGGGATGGTTAGCTTAGAAAAGGGGCAAGAAGGGGAGGCATGATGGAGAAGTTTAAAATGATGCGTGGTGTAGAGAAAACGGAGAGGGAGACATTTTTGCTCCCTCTTCCTTAACACTCGAACCCGGAATCATCCCGTGAAGCTGATCGGAGGGAGATTTACGACAGATCGAAGGAAGGATTTCTGCACGGAGCACCTGATTCGACTATGGAATTGGCTGCCATGGGAAGTGGTGTCGACCGCCATTCTGGAGGGCGTTCAAAGGGATTGCTGTCAGTCGTTCCTAACCTTATCAGAAGCAGCAACCCACTTGGTGAAGAGCTCTGAGGGATCCTGCTTCCCACCGTGGGAATGGAGTGTGATCCTGCATGGCTTTTCTTATGTTTTAGCAGTAAGCGATGGGGAGAAGCCGGAGGGAGAAACAAAAGCGCACTTGTTTTCTTTCTTTCCATACTTTTGCCCCCTTTCTCTTTCCTTGATCCAGCACAGCCTGAGACAATTTCTCCCTTTCTAGATCTCTGCATGCTTAGCTTTGCTGAAACTAGCCAATGTCACTACTGTTGTAGCGCGATCGAATGAGACCACTGGACAAGAAGTATGGAGAGTTGAAGGGTCCTTTATTATACCTGCGCCGGGACCAACACTCTGAGAGGAGTGTGGTCCCTGGTATTGGGATGGTACAGTTTTTATACATTTTCTACCCGGATGTACTTGGCGCTAACCGTTACTTTGTACGCCCGTGGGAGAATTACAAGCGGTTTAAGCAAGCAAGTGTGAAGTACAGAAGCTCAAGTGCGGTTACTTTGCGGTTACTTTCTGCTTTAGCAAGCTCATTGTTGCATGCCGTTGCGTACCGACTTAGAGATGTACTGACAAACTTTAACCAGGGTGAGGAATGACCTGTTGTCAATCTTGCAATGACTTACAATCCAGTCACATAATTAAGTGTGTGTGTGAAGGGGAGTGAACCTACTTCCTGCTGCTAGTCCTGCTGCACGTAGTGGCGTGTTCAGTGTTGCACACCCATGCTTTCCTAGCGCGTAGCCATTTCCTGCTATTGTGAGAGCATGAGACCACTCGTTATTGTGCTCAACGAACTGGCCCCACCTTGGTTCAGGTCTGTCGGACACAACGACTACCCTGCACTAACTGTGACAAATCATAAACACTCCATCAGCACGTAACTGGCCAGATGTGCCCAACTCTGAGAGCCAGTGTGGTGCAGTGGTTAAGAGCATGGGACTGGGACTCAGGCGACCCGGGTTCGAGTCCCCGCTCGGCCATGGAGCCAACTGGGTGACTCTGGGCCAGTCACAGACTCAGCCCAACCTACCTCACAGGGTTGTTGTTGTGGGGATAAGATGGAAGAGGGGAATGATGTAAGCTGCCTTGAGCCCTTTGAGGAAAAAGGCAGGATATAAATCGAAAAATAAATAAAGCTCGAGTTAGCCTGTGTTGCTCAACCGCAAGATGTTCCCCGCCAGACTTCTTGACCACAACAACAAGGAACCCAAGGCGGAGTCTCAGAAAATTGCAGAGGGTTGAGCTTTTTCGGTTAATTCAGCAGGTTACAGGGGGGTGGGCAAGGAAAGGGCCTTTTGCTTGAGCAGGAGGGGTAGATGAGATAATGTTTGTGTAAAGTTATACAAATTCTCCAAGTTTGTACTGCAGCATACCGGACTTGGGCTGTATCCCTGCATCCACTCTGTGCATATTGTCCTGAACAGAAATTGCTGCTATTTCACCTCTCTGCCAGTGTGTGGTTCCTCCTTGGTTCTGTGGACCCGGGTTCTGCATTTCTGACTGGGTTAGGGAATGAAGGATGGTGATTGGCCCACGGCCACCCAAGGGGCTGTGTGAATGATTAAAATCTTGTCGTGTAACCCTACTTCTTCCTCCCCAAAGCTTATTTCCTCACAGGTTGCAGAAAGGCTTCCTGTGTTGCCACCAGATCCTCTCGTGCTTTTGGTAGAAGACTCATGGCTGCAGCAGACCCAGCTCAGGTAAGGCTGGGGAGAAGCAGGTAGGGAAGGCTTGGCTGCCACCTTATGCTGGTCCATGGCTGGCCCCCGGTTCAACGGAACAATCCGTGAGCTCCAGTGGATGGATGGCGGGACTGCATTAGTGCATTTCTATGTTGCCCAACAGCCAGAACCCTCAAAACCTAAAATGCAACAGAATAAAACATAGCATAGGGCTTCCTGGGAGGGTGGGTCCCATGTGGCTGGACTCACATGCAGCACTGCATTATGGGAGAACTTAGAAGGGCAGTGGAGACAAATCAAGCTGTGCGGGGGAAAAAGAGGGGAAGGTATGGACCAGTTCCAGTATGGCAACAGAGGCGTTTTCTTGAGGATGCTGGGAGGTGGTGCAGGGCCTACACTTATCACATGTCAATCTTTCCTGGTTTCAGGACCCTGCCACCTTTGAGGACGTGGCTGTATATTTCACCA